GTGGAGTTGAGTAGTTTATGTATCCATTTTAAAAGACCGATACACGATTTAAATAACTTCGCTCGATAGAAAAAAAATCCAAACATAGCCAATTTTTAACACTTTGAATTCATTTTATGACGAAAATGTATATAGAACATAATTTTGAAATTTACACGATATATTTAATTGCAAGCCAAGTAATCCATTTCAGAAAAAAAAAATGATAAAATTACATTAATTTCATGTTTTACATAACTAATTGTTATTACGGGCCGACGCGACGCGCCTCTCCACTGCGCACCGCAGGTCACCCCGAGACACTGACACAGCAATTCGTGCTGGGATAGGGCCTTAAGGAAAAATAAGTTTATTACCCAAGAAAGCAAAATAAAATATGCGAATGTTGAGAATGAAATAGATTTGTTTTGCAAATTGTGTCCTTACGCCGTTTGTTGATTTGTGTGATGGAGTCAAACTAGGTCAAGTTAGTTGGGAATGTTACTTTAAGATAAAAGTTTATCTTAATGTGGGCTACATTGTATAAAGTGTAACCGTTAGATACCGATAGGGGAGAACGGCGCCTACTTTGAGAATAGCACGTTGTTCTCTATCTACATCATTGAGGTGACTTTTGGCCCGACCGCCTTATGTATCAATACAATAACTATCGAGTTTATGAAGGCAAAATAAACCATCTTCAGAAAAGTTGATCATTTATTCATCTTAGATTGATTAATTGGAGCATCCTGTTGTCAAGTACTGATCAACTTGAACGCCCAAATACTTGGCAGCCATAGCTTTCAAATGTGGGACAGTTGCAAACACCAAAACTTGAAGAACAGGTGTGAGCTTTTATTAATAAGTTTGGCGGTGGTAGAAGGTGTGATCGATGCACAAAATCTAGAAATTTCGATTTGACGGTAAACGTCAGGATGTTGGTTTGCAGTCATTTACCTCCTATGAGTCGTGGTTAAAAAGGGAGCCGTATCATCGGGGTAGGCAACTATTTTCCTTCTCGGCAATCGTAATTGACACAAGCTATTTATGTAGACTACGAACAGTATAAAACCGAAAATACTGCCCTGCGGTACTCCATATTAGACAACTTTCAACATAATATAATTGGCGTCACATAAAACTGGCAAACTTATGATCAATCTTAAGGTTTATATTAAAATAAACAAAATCTCCCTCGTTTTGAGTACCATTACACGTTGTAGATATATTGTCGTATTTTGTAAGGCTGGGTGTATACTTAGTACGGGGCAGCAAACATTCCGTCAAAACAAGGAATCCCTTAGCGCTCCAAGAACGTAATGAGATTAGGCATATTACAGCTTATAATATTTTGAGAAAGAATATTCAACTTGTGTATTTGCTACTAATGGTATATTTATTTGCATCCTCAACATCGCAGTCACCGCCACTATCCATTGGGCATTTAGATAGCAGATTCATGAGTTATTTGCATATTTTTTGAAAATGTTATCTGTATAAAAATTAAGATAATAAAAATATCGACACGTGATTGTGACGCTGCAGTTAAAAGTGAAAATTAATCCGAGACCGATAATGTGCGCAATTTTGCGGTTAGATAAGGTGCATAAGCGTTAATAATATAAGATTAGGCATAGTTTTGAATGACTAAGCAGAGTAGATTGTAAGAGTTAGGGAGAGTGTTGTGTATGAAGTTACATATATGTATGCGAGGCGGGAGTTGCAGGTGACAATAGAAGTGGGTGACGATATCATGCTAATACTATGATTACAGCTAATGTTATAAAATTAACAAAGTATGTAGTAGCACAGAGCTAGACACTTTTGAATTAATTAAGTCGTTCCTATCTGTCATTTAAGATGACAGATTTTTTTAGATTCTCCTTAATTTTTCCAAATAAATGTTTATCAATTCCATACCCAACGAATACCCCTTAGACTTAGCAAATTCCCGAGCTAAAGGAGGAGTTTGTCAACGGGCTCAAGTATAAATTTTCTCGGCGTTGGTTTTGTTAAATGTTTTTTAGAGCCTCGATCATTTTCTCGTAAGTGTGGTATTGAATTCAATAACCAGTGACGATACACTAAAGTTTATCTTGCTAAAAGACGTTGCGAATGTATACTTGGTGGTCTTTAGAGACACAAGTAAATGTCGAGCCAATGTGAATAAGTCATCATTCTTCATACTTTTGTTAAGATATTTTTCTAAATTTAGCTTGACTTATTATTACTACATATATTATTTACACCAATTTTGATTCAGTTTTTCCAGCTAACTGCTAAGAATTTTGTACGACTCATGTACTTTTTGAATATTCTTTTCCAATTGGCTAATTTGTAGGCTTATTTATCTTCGATATAGAAGTTTCGTTATCTTTGTTGATTGTCTGAATCGTAGCTAGTTTACTGTCTGTAAATACTTTTAACAAATAGAAAAAAAACTGGTTATAATATTCAATTTACTTTACTTCCTTACGTGTTTTATTTTTAGCTTTTGAAGTTATACTTCTTTTGGCGCGTTTGGGAAAAATAATGAGAGTAAATTTTTACGAAGTGCGCGCTCACCGTCAAATCCGACACCCTGAAGTTAGCTATAGTCAACATTTTAGTTTTTCTATTGTTAGTGTCGTTTTATCTACAAACGTAGAATAAAAAAAATTAACAGATTTTTATCTTGTTACGCCAAAGAAGTATAACTTTAACGCGTGTACATAAGAACACACACGTATTAATTCATTTAATTGCACGATGGGTTAAAGTAGCTGACGATAGTTTCCTTCAACTGTACGTGAATATTAATGTCCTTTTTAACAACTCGAACAAGATTTTACTAAATTGTAGAGATTTGAGAGACTACACAAATTCAAATTCCGAGGATGGCTTCGCGCTTCTGTAAGTTTCAACTACGCCCACGGATTTCGTAATTATTCCATTCAAAATTTTTAGTTTTTTTACTTTGTACTAAGGACTGATAAAACATATTCGAAAGCTCATGCTTTCGAATATTTTTATAGATTTCATAATCTTCAGGGTAAATACACGATATTATCTCCTAGGGGCAAGTGATTTGAATACGAATATCGTATCAAAATCGTAGGTATATAATGCAATTTATTAGATGGGTTTATTTATTGATAAGTATTAAAATAACATGTTTAAAGATACGAAAAAAAATTATGACATTTTACAGGCATATTCATAAATTTTATTAGAACATAAAAAATGTAGACATGGAATGCACATAAAAACAAGTAAAATAAATATAGATACAACAGTAAAAAACGCAATAATAAAACGAGAGAAAAAAGATCATTAAAAACTTAAATCTCATTAAGAGATAAAGAGAGTAAACAAGAGTTAGTAATAAGCTGGTAGCTGGGAATTTCTGGCAAAAAATCTGACGGGTCGGAATATAATAGCCTATGAAGATAAAACAAAAGGTATATAAAGAGTTCACATTTATTTAACTAAAAAATACCACATTAAAAAGAAAGGCCGAACTTAGACAAAATTGCGGACATGAGACAAACATTCATAATACTGAGAAATCACTTTGGAATGATTAGTTTATACAATCAAAAAAATTCAACTTTTGTGATAGCCGGGTTAAGTTAACGTTAACGAATTTAGATATAAAAGGTTATTAGGAATGATAGCATTTGTATGTTTTTGTTTGGTTTTCTAGATTAAGTATGCGGCTTAGTTAAAAAACATTCCATTCAATTTTAACGTCAAATAGTCGTCAAGTAAGACACGTCGAATTGAAGTTTTTTGAAGTCGGATAAAAATACCATAGGAAATTTTCCACTTAATAAGATTATTCGGATAAAAATATCGTTTTTTTATCTGAGTTTTGTTTAGTAATTTTTAATTTATGTATTACATGTAAAAGTACTATTAAATATAAAACCTAATGTACTTAAATAGGTTAACTTATAATTAGGTCAATTTGTTAGAAATTACGTATAATTGAAACACGATAGTTCGAGTTAGAGCTTATGGGTGACACCAATATTGTAAAGTTAACCTTAATCCCGAAGCTCCACAACATCAGTCAAATTAATTTGTATTTAAAAAATACCAACTGGGACCCAAAACTTCCAAAAACCTTCCAACAAATTTGTCTTGACCTTCGATTTCAATATCTCTTTCGTGATCTTTTGTGACCGGTTGACATGTGTCGATAGGAATATAAAAAAAGTTCTAGAACTCTTTAAAACATTTAGTTTCAACATCTCAAAATATGTATCAAAATGACCATGTTTTTGTTGACCTTTTTGTTTAATGTATTACAGCGACCGTAGTCCAAGGCTATTTCTCAAACAAATTATGTTTGTGAATTATTCAACGTAATTCTAATATTTTATACGGCTGCTTTTTTTATTCGAATATATTTAAATTGAAGACAAACGGGATTGTAAATCAATCGTGGTGTTTTTGACGAGAAAACAAAACACACTAGAGTGCCAAGTTTATGAACCCAGCTTTGATTTAAAATAAACTCATTATTTTAATTTAATCGAAAGAAACTATTAATTCAAATCTAGTCTGTCATAAGTGTAATGTAATTTAAATAACACGTTGACGCAGAGGTCATGGAATTGTAATGTGGTCGTGTTTAAATTTTATTTCACAATTTAATTACTCATGAAGTAATTCTATAGTTTTTATGTCTTTATGTATATGAAATTAAAATTGTATTTTTTGTTACAGTTACCTTGTGTCTGGGGACGCCGACGGCAAATGCTATATCTGGGATTGGAAAACCACGAAGTTATATAAAAAATGGAAAGCACACGACGGCGTCTGCATTACATCTCTTTGGCATCCTCATGAGCCCAGCAGATTACTCACTGCCGGTTGGGATGGCGTTATTAAGTATTGGGATTAAATAATACAACATATGCGACACCAGTATTTTATTTCCCCTAACATTAAAACCGTGAACCATAAATAAAATTCTCAAATAAACTATACAATATTTAACATTTTGTCATAATATCAGTTATGAAGCGTTAACGTTATGTAGCGATCATGGGGTACTTGTAGGTCTCCTCGTAAGGCATATCGAACTTGTACTCCATGCTGCACTCGCGACAAGTCCCGTTCACCAAGAATTGATTGAAGCTTATATTGTTTTCATGGAATGATTCGATTAGGGCAGTGACCAAGCTGTCAATCATCTCGGGAGTGTGGTAGGGGCCCGGCGCGAAACGAAGTCGCTCAGCGCCTCGCGCGACCGTGGGATAATTGATAGCCTGCACGTAATGTCCCCTCTTCATGAGGGATTCAGCGACAAGGGCCACTTTGTCGGCTCCGGTTATAGGCACCGGTACAATGTGACTCACGGAAGGCATCTGCGGAAGTCCCGCAACGAGAAGCGACAGTTTCAAATAACGTACGATTGCCTGGTGTTTGGCACGCAAACTCCTTCCTTCCTCTCCAGCAAGAAGTCTAATAGCTGCCAGCGAGCCTGCTAGCACTGGTGGTGGAAGTGCAGTTGTAAAGATGAATCCTGGTGCTAAGGACCGGACAGTGTCCACCAGTAATGAAGATCCTGCTATATAGCCTCCAACGTTTCCATAAGCCTTACCCAAAGTACCAGAAACTATGTCAATCATATGCTCAATACCTCTTTCCTCTCCGATGCCAGCCCCATGTTTCCCATACAAGCCAACTGCATGAACTTCATCTACAAATGTTAACGCTCCATAATCATGAGCAACTTGACACATTTCCTCTAATGGACAGATAGCTCCACTCATTGAGTGAACAGTCTCAAATACGACTAGTTTTGGTACACCTTCAGGTGATTTAGAGAGTAGTTCTTTTAAATGGTTAGGGTCGTTGTGTCTGAATATGTGCTTTGGGGCCCTACTGTTCCTTATTCCCTGTATCATAGAAGCGTGGTTGCCTGCATCTGAATATACAACACACCCAGGTAGAATCTTAGCTAATGTAGAGAGTGTTGCATCATTGGCAACAAAACATGAGCTGAATATAAGAGCTGCAGGCTTTTTATGAAGTTTAGCTATTTCTAGTTCTAATTTTTCAGTCATTTGTGAGTTACCAGCAATGTTGCGGGTTCCACCAGCTCCTGTACCATAAGACTTGATCGATGAAATTGCAGCATCTTGTACAGTGGGGTGTCTTGAGGCACCAAGGTAATCGTTAGCGCACCACACCGTCACACGGCGGTTATCGAGGCCTTCTAACGCCTGAGGATACATACCGTCCGCGGCTAGCCGGGATACCTTCCGGAAGACTCGATAAGAGTAGTCCCTTTTCTTCGCGCTGATCTGTTCATTGAAGAACTTATCGTAAGAGTAGGGGCGTGCGCTTTCCACAATGTCCTCGGTCATCTCCTTAGGAGCATCCGCAACGATGGTGTTGGTGTTTTGAATGAAAGGACATTTCGTTTCGTCTTGACCCAGAGTGCGGAAATTTCTTGAAATTATTGGGCAAAAGTTGCCGTACTGTTTCATCAGTACGCTGCCATAATTTCTTACGAAGGCTTGGTTTAGGGAACCCATGAATGGACAGGGCATTTTATGTAATCAATGACACTCGCTCGTAACACTTATGACACAAAGTACGGTGGGGTCAACACTTGTTTTGAGATTTCGTAGAACGTTGGCTCGCACTGTAGCCGAACGCCTCGAAGATTTAAGATTATACTGAAGTATCAACACACTGCACGCTTCATTTATAAGATCGGTGTCGTCATATCGATTACGGTCGACTAAATGATTGTAAACTTCAACTCCACGTACAATTTTTATTTTGATTCATAACTAAAAATGTTGCTATTGTAAATTGACTGCTAATGTCAAAATATGGTTTAAAGATATCGCCATTTTTGACTTCTAAAATAAAGACGAAATTGTTCACTTTAATTTATATCATTTTTGTAGATTATATTAAATCTTATAAGAATATAACGGTTACATTATATATTAAAATTCTATCATAATTATTATTTCATGGCAACTTCAATGGTTGAAGAATCTGACAATCAGCTGATTTTATATAAATTGAAATAGTCATACCAACATCTACCATTCAGCTGCATTGTACATATATACATATTTTAATTCTTTCAATAATAACATTAAATTTCTATTTGTAGTAAAATGACACAAAAAAATGCATTTAAAAAAAAACAAGAGTATCATAGTAACAAATGCACTTAGATATAATATACTCGTATCCGATCATAGTCCTTATCTAAAACGTGATTCAAGTAATGTCAATTATCATTTATCAAATGTCAGTATTGATAAGTCAATATTGACAATCTCATATTTTCAAAATTTTTTAATTAATTTTGTGATTTATTTCGATTATCAACACTAAAAGTTGTGGTTAAAAAATATTTATGAAGTAAATAGCCAATATGTTTACGTTAAATAACCACCTGGAATTGAGACGCGTAACTATATCTAGTTTACTCACATGCATTTATTTACCGAGTATAATAAGTGTGATCTCCTATAAAGGTATATTGTATTCCGTAGGAAGCGGTTCATCATTTTATATTTTGGTGCTAATATTCATAGCAGAACTGATAAAATCATTCTATCTTAGTTCTAACAATGAAATCCAATCAAAGAAGAATAAGGCGAAGATCAGAGTGAGTGACATACTGAAGGCTTTTGGCTTCTTGCTGGGTGTAACGTTTTGTTTTTTTCTCGGAATAATTTTGTTTGGGGCGCCTGTCTTAGACAAACACGAAGAGACATTAATGTTATCCAGTTTACTCACGTTATTGTCAGTGTTTCCCTTAGTAGCCCACACTGGTGTTGAATTAGCAATGCAACTTTTATTTGGAGTAAAACATTTTTCAAAAGATACAATAATTGCGATGTTGGTGAATAACGCGTTACTGTGTGTATGCGGAGCCTGGATTGGGGCAGTTGTGATACCTTTGGACTGGAACACTCCATGGCAACAGTGGCCTATACCATGCTATCTTGGAGCTATTGGTGGATATCTCTTATCAAATGTTATGACTGTATTAAAAGTGACAATGATGTCTGCGAGTCATAAATATAAATTTCTTAATTTCTTTGTAAATATAATTAATAAATTACATGTTTCCAAGTAAACTAATTTGTATTTGTTAAATTCAAAGTATATAAATTTAATGAATAAAGTTAGACTGGTATATGAAGTGCATGAAATGCAATAAACAGTATTACTTAAAATGCAGATACATTTGTGTGCAGACCTGTTCTTTAACAGTTACTTGTGCCATTTAAGATATATAGGGTTCACCTTAGTTTCCATATTGTTAAAACAATCCTTTTTCAATGTTTTATGTGCTTTATTAAATTTGTAATTGTTCAGTTCAATTCTACTCAATATTATCAAGTATCGTGATTATGATGAACTTAAGTTATAATTTTTAAAACTAATTACATAAGGTTAATTAAATTTATTTCTTATTCACTCGGGGAAATAAAAAGCAATAAGTAGTAAATTAACAATTTAATTTTGTGTTTGTCAAATATTTACAAGTTCTATTCAACACTAGAATTATAAAATATTAAACTTAACCAATCTTGATCACATTCTTTTCTATACATTAGCAATTAGCAGTATAATTTACACAACATGCTTGCTGTATTATTGATTAAAAAATTTAACAATTTGACTTGCCACAATTTTTCTGAATAGTCAAAGGCTTTTCAAATCTGGCAGCTACTTAAAATCCACGATTTTTTACTTGTGAATGGTGTCAACAATGTTGAGTAGCTTTTACATTTGGCAGAACAATGTCATATAATTTTTTTGATTGAAACATGAAGCGCTTGTATTTATACATTGTAACAACACTTCAAAAAGCTCTTAACACACATCTAAGGCCATTACAAACTTACTAATTAACACACTATATAAATTTTCATTCATCGAAACAACAAACAAGCATACAAATTGGTCTCCATAACTAAAGTGGAATTTTCGGAATTAGCAAAAATATTCATAGCTATAGAATTAATGTAGAAATGTGGCACATTTTGTTCATATAAACAACTATTCGAAAATGTTTTCTACAATAAAGTTGGATGGATATAAAAATATGTTAAATTGTTTAATGAAAAAAATCTCAATTCCAGATGAAGAAGTTCCAGACAAGTTCTCTTTAATTAAATGAATCTTAGTGTTAAAAGAGTTTTAGATACATTATATTAGAATTTTTAAAATAAATGAAGGTATAAGATTATTATGATATAGCTAATTTTGTTTTATTTAATTCACTCATTCACATTGTAAAAATAAAATATATTTCAGCACCTTATAAAAAAATATCTTATCAACAAATGTTTATTGCTCAGTTCAACAAAATATTTAATGTGGTATTATGACATGGTAACACATTTCAATAAAACCTTTATTGGAAGTTTTCCAAAAACTTTCCATATTGAGGGTCATCATTTATTTTTAATAAAGACTTAGCGCTCTAGTCCTTATGACTGCAACATGATAATTTATTTCAAAATCTGCTTAACATATAAAATGCACCACTTATACTATATCCTATAAAATACTACAAATTAATTATTAACATGGAATAACGGATTTATAGGCCATATGTCATGTATGAATAAATTTAGCAAATGTTTTGACTAGCCTGGCACAATTAAAAAAATAGATTTTTAAACAGGCTTTTCTTTAAATCTCAATTCTACTGACCAAATAGTTTCTAGTTCTCAAAATTTCTAACAAAATATGGCAGTGTATTCTTTAATGTAAATTCAAAAGTTCTTTTATGGGAAATTGGGAATGATAAAATTATAATGAATTGATTTAACTTATACATATGACGTATTTTAGTTTAGAATAATTAACAATTTAATACAGATAAAGAAACATTGTTTATGTTCAAACAAACAAATTCAATATAATAATATATAAAATTACAATGTGATTGGTCTTCATCTAGTCATATCTTCGAAATTTAAAAATTAAAAGTTCAGTAAAGAAAAGCATAGATTTAAAAGTCAGTGATGACGTCATTGCATCATCACAGATTATAAAAATAGCTACAGATATTATTGAGTCAGAAATATTTTGGTCAGTGTGACGTCACTTAATCCATAGAGTTACGTGTTATTCGTTTCAGGTTGGAAGTAGTGCATGCCGTTTATCTGAAACAAAATATACATTACATAAATTTAAAATTTTTACACTTCAGGTATTTTAAATAGATCGGCAGAATAAACATAAATAGCCGGTGTTACTCAGATATTGATAGTTAATGTTTCGTTTCGACTTTGAGAGTGACAGAAAAAGGAACTAAATTTAAAGTAGCTAGGCAAGTAATGAAACGTCATCTATCATCTGGATCAATCTTTCAGGCCTTTAGTTAAACGGTGCTGTTTAGTTAAAAGGCTAGGCTGTTAATTGAAAGTCTAATTTAGCTACTTGGCTGCAACATATACATCCTATTGCATTATTTTTGATAATGCCAGCACAAAATTGTGTATTATTCCCGCCTTAAGAAATATCAATCTAAATGAAAAGTTTTAACTAAACTAAACGTCTTCGGTCTCTCATAGTCACAGCGTAGACACAATTTGACAGAACGAGACGAATAATAACTTCAATTAAAATTGTGCATTACAAGTATAGACCAATGAATGAGTACCGTCATGTCGTATTCCGTGACGAAGGCAGGCACTTCGAGCTGATGCGGCTGCATGACGCTGTAGAGGTACTCCACTCCGGGAAGATTGTGCACCTTGGCCTTGATGGCCGGAGCCATGAACGTCGTGAACCACCACGTCATCATCTGGATAGCCAAATTTGGGTTAACATTTAATACTTAAATCACACACACATACATATTTATTTGCAATTTTACATCTGATTTTGTATTCTCAAGCTTGTTTGTTGTGTAAATTCCTTAAATATATGTATGTTTAAAATCAGATTAATTTCAACAAGGGGAACCATCGACGTCCTTCATCAAAATCAGTTGAGTAGTTTTTGGTATATGAGTATGCTGAGAGTATAATTTCTGGGGCATGTATATACGTAAATAATATTATGTAATATTAGCAATTTCTCTAAAATTTAAATCTAAAATCTGTTTAAGCAAGCTGTTCACATTTCAAGGATTGTCCATGCTCGCTTAAATGTCATTGCTTGTGGCGGCGTCCATGCGTCGGCTTGTCTCTCTCCCTAAAATATGGCGAGGGGGCCGATGGCTGGCCATGCGTCATGCTCGTGAACGGGTACTGCTTGTGGTGACTGGTCGAACTTGAATTCGTGTATGTGGTGATGTTAATTATTTCGACTATGTGTTTGCGTGTTGTTCCCACGAGAATGTAAGTGCGTGCTCCTATTTCACTTTTCTCTCCATAAAAACCTTCTTCAGTTCAAGGATTAAATCAAGTTGATCCAGCCCTCTTCGACTTTTGATCTTAGGAACATATTTCGCGATTTGTTTTTAAATATACCTTGAGACCTAAGTTCGGTGTGGGATTCAGCGGGATTTTTGTTATAATTTGTTTAATATTTAAACAACGTGACTACAAAAGTTAATTTCGTTCGTTAATTTTCATGTTGCCTTATTTTTAAACTTACTTTTGTCCAAAACGTGGGATGCACGATGTAGAAAGCTTTCAAGTTCTTCTTATATCTGAAAATATTAAATAAAATGAATATATTTAGAATATATTAAATCAGTTGTGGGTTCGTTCCCGGTTAACCAATTAAATTAAATCAGTGGCGCTACTATATATCTGTTCCACGATCATTGTTGATTGATTGCTCCATCTTATATGCAAGTAGGTGATCAGCCTCCTGTGTCTGACACGCCGACGACTTTTTTGGTCTAAGGCAAGCCGATTTCCTCACGAAGTTTTCCTTCACCGTGTGAGCGAATGTTAAATGCGCACATAGAAAGAAAGTCCATTGGACGAGACTGATAATTCAAAATTAATTAATATTATTTCAACTGGGTGATATTTGGTACTGACTTGTAAGGCAGCACCGTATAGACCTCCTTGAGCCATGAGAAGGGCGGATGGTTTCCGGAGGAGGCCAACGTGTGGAAGTACGCGATCACATAGTCGCCTCGGACTATTGGGTCCAGCAGTTTTATCAGGTAGAGCAGTGCCTGAAAAACAAATTGCCATAACAGTTGGGTCATACGATTCACCAAAGGAACACCAAGCGTTTACCGTGAAAAAAATCTTACAAAAATCGATAGATAGCATTGTAGTTGTTACATTAATACAAACCAAAGCGGTTTTCTAATGTAACATATTATAATTTTATTATTCCGTAAAATAAAGGAATTAATAAAAGAAAGTTGTTTTCCAAAAACCGTAATAAGACATATTTTAAGAACTATTCTAGACCCTAAAGTGAAAATAGAATACATTAATTAGATTGTTCAGACACTGGAATAATAACAAAGTTCGAGGTTAGGTTAGGTTAGTGCTTTTAGGAGGTTTTCTGTACTTTTAGTTTATAAACTAGTTCTTTCGTCATGGTCGCAGCATTGTTAATATAATAATGATAAGCTAAATAATCGAAATAAAACATCAAGCGATCAACTTCAAATCTTCTAATCGTCAAATTCTCAATCATACTTTTTTAGTTTCTCTGTTTGTTGCGTTGTGTTATACCACTATTGTATTTTCGTCTCCAGGTTCTAAGATACCCCACTAATTTTCAGCCTTATTGATTCAGCCGTTCTTGAGTTATAAATAGTGTTACTAAAACGACTTTCATTTATATAGATAGATTAAGCAATAAAATAATTAAAACTCCCTTATTTGTTTAAAAGGTACATGACAAATGCCATTATGGCCATTCAAAATTCTTGGCATACGAACTTCACGCATATTCTATTTCTTTTTACTTGTAGATTGTCTTATTCCTATCTCGCTCGCGCACGCTATAATCACACTAACAATTTTGTGTCACAGGTGCGCGCGCATCGTAAAATTTCACTCTCATCAATTTTTCATAACGCGCCTAAAGAAGTATAATTTCAAAAATAATCATAAACCTTTTTTGTAGGTGAATATTATGTATTCCATATTTGGTTATTTAATGTAATTGTTATTTAAATATAATTTTTGTGAGCTGTAATGTTATGAACTATAACATACCTTGTCTAAGTCAATATCCGCGATAGGAAACCACTTTCCAATGAAGATGACGACAGGTCGCCCGAGACGGTCCACGCCGCTCTGGTAGAGACACCCGATACCGGACACTTCGCTCAAGTCCTCGCTGCGCGCACGCCGTAACAGACGTTCATATCTGGAAATAATTACGTACAAATTTAAATGTGCGATTTTGAATAGGTTTAGGTTTGAATTACCCAAACCCTAAAGGGATAGAAGGGTTCGAAGATATATCACAATTTAATACGTTTTTGACATACGAAGTGACATTAAGCGTCTCGGCTCTCAAGTTAAACTTCCATTAATTTTATATTATTAGAAAACTTTAAATATCTATAAGAAACTTAATATTAATTGCGTGATTAAAGACATCTGGACCATCAGCGTGAGCCGGGTCTAGGAAAATTGATATAAGGAAAACCATGATAAATGGATACCTATGTTGTGGAGAAACGTAAAAGTTATACTTATTTTTCTCTGTTTTATTTGTTATTGAATAACAAAATCTAAAAAATAAAAAAAAAGAAGATGACGAAACAAGGAACTTTGTTATTTGATTAAGGTATCTTCAAGGTCCCTTGTCGAATAAAATAATATCCAGAGGCGCTACAACCATTTAAAGCCTCAGATTTCTGCATCGTGATCACTTGTCGATCTAATAGACAAATAGATGATCAGCCTCCTGTGCCTGACACGCCGTCGACTAGGGTCTAAGGCAATCCAGTTTCCTCACGATGTTATGCTCGAGCTTATGTTAAATGCGCACGTAGACAGAAAGTCAATTGGTGCACAGCCAGGCTTCGAACCTAGGACCTCAACGATGAGAGTCGCTGAGCCACTCCGTGTAAAATAAGGTTTTCAATTACAAGTTACAATGAACAGTATATCACTATAATTAATCAAAGAGTTCTCAATTTCACCAATGACATAATATCAAGTGACATTGACATATAGCTTACGTCAAAGAGGGCGCGACCCAGTTCCTGTGAAAAGGGCAATTTTCAGTTCGACAGTGTCCGTGTTGAATTCATAAACATTACGTATCACGATTGTTAGATATGGGAGACTATTTCGCCTTGAACTATATTATTACATTTATTTTTCAATGAAACTTTTGGCTCGTCAACGATTCGATAAAAATAGAACTTAGTGTAATAATATGCAGAAGTTCTTGTTCACAATATTTTTGAATTGGATTTATTAAGCTGCGACAAAATTAGGTGATCCATTAGGGCACAGATTTTATTAATACGATTAATACAATGCCTTAACATACACACTAACTCTTTTGAGCCTAAAGAGAATTATGTGAGACAAACATATTTAGTTGAACACTGAATAATGCAATTCACAAGAATTGCATTATTTATAAAAGGTTTAGTTTTTAAGTTTTCATATTTTGTTTATATTGTTCTTAGTTTTTTTTTTAAAATAAGTGTTCAATTGTATTAGTATTAAGTTACTTTAAGAATAGAAAAAAAGGAAATTAATAAATGTGGAAACTGAAGTATTTCCGAACCAATTCGACTTAGGGTAATTCAAGAAAAGGGCGTACCAATTCTTCTTCAAATGCCATTGTGAGTGTCTATGGGCGGTAAGTCACATTAGATTAGCCTCCTGCTCGTTTGTCATATAAAAAAAATCAATATAGTATAGAAACCTAAAAACTCAACACTATTTTCTAGTGGAAATAACGTATCATTATTATTCAAAAATATATGGTTATTGAAAAAAACGCAACTGAGTCATATGGTAAGACTCGTAGTCGATACTTAACGTTAAGTATGACTTCCGTATGTCAAAACCAATACTTAGCGTTAATTGAATACCCATAGGTTTCTTAAACGCCTACTCTATAAAATACACTATGAGCTGTTTGCAGCCTTTAAAATGTCTCCAATTAAATTTAATATATTAAAACCATTTAATGCTTACTTTTCACGTCATTACTGTGAAACGCTTTTAATAAATGACAAGGTTTCTATTACCTTGACGTCAGCACTCAGCCTGTCTAGACATTTCCTCTTAACCACAGTTGCATTGGTTTAGCGAATGGAATAAAAACTGTTGTGAAATAGTTGATACATATTTGTCTCGATACTAATCTTAAAACCTTATTAAATAATCTTTTTATGACACTGTAAACACAATTTGTCAGAAAGAAACGAAAGAATACATAAATAGTGCAATTAGACTAATTTTGTTTCTTATTTTTTTTATGATTAAAAAAATTGAAATCGTGTACTGTTTTATTTATTTATTTGCTCAACGGTATTCCTACAGCTACTTATTAAACAATATACAAACAATTACAATGTACACAAAGGCCAAAAACGGAATACACATTTAAACACAAAGCACAGTTTCACCTATACAAATACAAATAATATACAAAGAATATATGTATTTATAATAAATTCTAAGTTTAATTAAGAAAAATCAATGTGGATGATTCAATGAGTAATGGAGCATAGTTTGATACATTTTATCTGTTTTTATGTATGTTTAAAGTCAGCTCAGGCGATAAAGTATAGGTATATACAACAGAACTTTTAAAATTCCGACTCCCAGAACCAACATTGGAGCCTCTTCACAGGATGTGTTCTACCTTGGATTCTGTCACTAATGTCGACCCTTTTCGCACTCCTCTACTGCGTCATTTAAGAATAAGTTAAAACTATTAATGTCCTAAGCCTTGTATCTTCCTTGTTCATTATAGCTACTTGTTTGATTGTCGTTCTCCAAATTTATAAATTTTTTTGCCATCATGTTTTGTCTTGTTTTGCTTTGTAATATATTTTTTATCAGTGAAACTTTTTGTGGATATGTCCAATGTGTTTATTTTATGTTTTATGTTTTACTTTTATTTTATCTTAACTGTATAGAGATGTATCTGTGTAGTTTCCTAATAATAAATAAATATACCGTCTCCATTACTCACTCGCTCGTTATATTATTATTACTATTCAGGAAAAAAAAGACTTGGAAATCATATTTCTCTAAATCTCAGATAACAAATGCCGCATGCGGAAAAGTTAATATTTGAACGTCAAATCTTACAGAAATTTTTAATATATTTGCCTTCATAATTACGTAGAAATATTATGCTATTATTATGTTTATGGGTTTGAAAATAAAGTCCATAATTGTATACGGAATGTTCGAGTTGTTTGCATGGTTATTAAATATATTTGAATATTAAATTTGTGTGAAACAGTGCTTTGTAGCAATTACGACCCATGCGACTTCTCCGATACAAAAAGTCCCCTCGGGAGTTGTGTGCAATATTCCGGGCACATGATTGGCGCCGCGCCTTTTTAAGTTCTCATGTAACACACGTGAATTGTATTATTTTTCTAACATATATTCATAAGTGTTTGATTGACCTCATTTTTATGTTCGAGAGACATATTGGGGTCTGAGTTCTAAGCGTAAAAGTCAATTATACGGGCTAGGTATGACTAGTACGTCAACATCTTATTATATCACTTTTTTTTTTGAAGCTCCTTGAACATCCCGAGTTTTTGAGAGTCATGCTGGGGCTGAGTTCTATGAGTCAAATTCGGGCTAGTCGAGTCGGCTATAAAGCCAAAAAGTCAAAAACTTATTTTAAATTTTTTTTTTTTGGACAACTCGAATTATTATATTACAGTACTCAAAAAGTTGTTACTTTAACACTGAACGCATGCAATCTTTTAGAAGTATATAATATTTGAGAAAACATAACTACTTCCTTATAGGAAACACTTATTTATTACCTATCGAGTGCATTTCGGTACAGATCGAGTCATGAACGTGGGCAGAGTATAAATAACGTCATTGTATGATTCATTTAATATACTGGAAAATTATTTGCAATTAAGCTGTTATATAATCATTAAATTGTATTCTCAGCTTAATGAGTCGTTAAGTTTTTGTCATAATTTGCATGACGACGAAATGAAGAAACCTGAGTGCGTATTTATGGGAACTTTCCACACGAAGTTTACGTGTTTGTCGCACATATTTTGTTTTTGTTTGTTTGGGTTTAAGTATAGATAGGTAATGATTCATGATAATCATGATCGAGAGTACCTTAACTAGGCCACATACTAATTACTGAACTGACCAAGACTAGTCGGAGTGCTAGCAACATACATGACATACAAGAACAAGTCCGTTGTAATATATATTTATTTTAATATAATAGGAGGCAAACGGGCAGGAGATCACCTGCTATTAAGTGATACCGGCATGGACACTCACATTGACAGAAGGCTCGCAAGTGCGTCGGTACGCTCTTTTCTTAAAGGACCCCAAGTATAATTTTTTTATAAAATAAATCAAAATTTATATATTGTTATTGATATGAACGTCAATCTTAATAAATATAAATATATATATATAAATATATATATATATGTGTGTATCTGTATCTGATCCGCATGCTTAAGACTACTTTTAATATTTTGGAAATAAATAAAGCCCCAGAGATAATGATGGTGAAATTTTTGAAGAAACTCAAAAGTTTATTAGTGATTTTTGAATATTTCTCTAATAGTAGTGTAAATCATATATTTTTACGTATATTAATTACATCATTTAAAAACTTCGTTTGATAAGATATCATTTATGTTATAGCTTCAAAATCATTTTGTACATACCCCTATGAGCGAAATATTCTTTAATAATGATAAAATAAATCATTTATTTGCAAGAAAGTGTTACATTTATAACAATCAATTATAAAATTCATTATAATTCATATTTTAATAAAGTCATATAATAAGAACATCTGTCATAATAATAAGTCAAGCTATTTTTAATTAATTGTTGTCAAACTTATGGGCCAAGTTTAATTTTATTTTAATCCACATTTAATTAGTAACTTTGTTTGGAAACTATTAGTAACAGTGAAAATATGCAAATGAAACGAGCAGACGGCACATAAGTGTGATAATTCACACATTTGAGGTCATTGACCCGCCAGTACAATGTAGTAAATGATGAAATTATATAATGAATGTTTTATTATAGGAAAGGTTATTATATATAGGTATTATTGTTATACAGTGTTTCATAAACCAATGTCAAGCCAAAATTGGTTTATTGGGAAGGGTAGGGTACGTAGATTAAAAGGGAGGTAAAGTGGTTTAGCAAAAAAATATTTGCTTTGTACTATAAAAGAAATTGTATGTGTATTTGGAATACGGAATCAACACGCCGTCTTTTTGTGTTATTACTTTTGCATTACCATCGCAAAGCCGAGCGCAAGAAACCTTTAAACCTAAATTCCTAATTCGTTTGTCTTAGTGTCTCTAAATAATATTTTAATACATAAAGTAAATCCTAGACAATATTTTAAACCTAACACTATATTTATAGTTGCAAAACTAGAGTTACCTGGAAGACACCCTTAGTAGAAATAAATGTTAATTTAAGTTTACTGTTGATATTATTATTTAATTGTGTGACGAAATAAAAAAAAAAATTATATATCTGCTACAGACGGCTTAAATAAAAAAAATATAAGTACATGTAAAAATTCCGTGGAAACACTTAAATAAACACATTTAAACCAGACAATCTTTTTGTAAACGCATAAAAAACGAAATGTATACAACAAATTGCATATAACCCTGAATGAAACTATTATATGAGAATTCGGATACTATTCAACTCTAATTCCGCTTACATTTGTTTCTATTTGTGACTCTACCGAAATAAACAAAGGTCAGTCGTGACGTCACACCTGATCAGAAATGAATGGAATTTGAGGAATGCAGCGTAAATTATCTATAAGGTACATTCTAATTTCTAATACTATAAAAATTTCCAATATAACATCACTGTAGAATGATAACCTCGTATGTCAAAAAATTTCATTTATCTGGTATAATCATGATGTAAGGACTTATTTTTAATAAAAAAGTCCTTTTAACCATCCAAAACTATGGATAAAGCACATAACAATATTTTAATGAACATTGACGAAATGAAACATTTTTTTAGTTTCCTGTAATGTTTGGTTCTCTGGACATACGAGGTTATTATTCTACAGCGACGATAAGTTTTTTTAACGCAAATATAACACTAATATAATATACAAATCGACTTATAATTTTCAAAATAGTTTGACTAATTTTAAATGATACAAACTTAAAACTAACATGACTTCTTAGACTTGTTAATTACTAAGCCTTTAAGAACCAAACCGTGTATGTACGTAGAAAATAAACCGCAGATATTTATAGTTCTTTACAGTATTTCTGTCGAAACGTTCTATGGGACGGTAGCAGATTTATGATATCTAGTCACACACCTCACTTAATCACTATTATCTGACTCGATAGAACAGCCCGACCAAATAAGTCCAGAGTTAGATATTACAGTAATCCCCCTATACCGCATTTTCCGTCCCCCAAATAGCGGGGTATTTCCACCCCCAATAACTCGGAGGTTTCTCAAGTTATATTTCTGTAGTGTGAAATTTATAATAATTTGTCAAGTCCATAATAAGTTTTGCTTACTGCACCTGTTTCAATTGTTTTTATAAAATTAAACTAAATAACTTTATTCAATTCGTGTTCTTAATTATTGAAACAAAAAAACTGTTTTAGGAGAATACCCATACAACGCGATTTCCTACAACTCGGTCCGGGGGTACCGCGTTATATGGGGGATTATTGTATTTCTCTCTGAAAATACCTAAGACGCAGTCTTACCTGGCTTTTTGCCAGAATACCCATTGACCGAAACGTCATCGTTTTGCTTCATAAAAATGTAAATAAGATCGTAAACGTAGTTTTAACAATGTTTATCTTAAAATGTTTATAGAAACGTATTTCATTAATCAGGCATTTTATTCTCTTAGCTAAATGTGAAGAGGCCGACATGGATAATGATGGATTTATTTCAGTGTGTTAGTACCAATTCGGTCTTAGTATATAAGTAATAAAAAAAGATGGATAGGTGAAATAGAAGCGGTAGCAGGAAGCGAATGGAGAAAGAAAGCCATGGACAGAGTCAGTTGGAAAAAGCTGGATGAGGCCTTTACCCGTGAAAGGGATCCGATCGACGGTTCCTTTGAATAATTGTAATGTAGAGGGAGGGTAAAACTTGCTGAGTTTCTTGCCCGTTTTTCTCAGAACAAGGCCTCCTAGTTTTGCGAACGGATGGCGTAGTCTTGCTCTTTCGCGAATTTTGTAAACGTTTTTGACATTCATAAGCATGCCCTGAGACGCATCTAAATTGAATAAACGTATTTTGATTTGATTTAATGTGACAAGCACTTATAGGCAAACATAACATACACACAAAAAGAGATATAAAAGCAAAGAAAAATCTAATTCAAATTGTGAGGGCCAGGCCTAAATCGTATATCAGAATGTGATTGGTTAGTAAACAATACAAAAGCCAAGCATACCAAGCATACCAAACATAGTGCGTCGCCGGAAATGGAACCGACGTTCTCCAGTATACATTAACCACATTACAATATAAACCACGAAGGCGTTGACTCATAAAAATTTATAAAAACATGTTTATGAAATCTACGCAATAGATTCATCGATTTCCTTCGTGCTCTACGGCGTAGACCATGAAAACCTTAGACGTAGTACATTTATGCTACGAAGATGCTACGATAGTGTCCCTTTCCATTTCAATTTAGCTATTAATTTATAAAATCAAACTACGGTTGGTCAGTCTCAAAAAAAAGGGATAGGTAGAAGGTTCTTTTAATAAGGAAGTAAATACTGAATTTACTGCCTTGTTTCTGACATCTTGATCTACATTCAAGGTTATTGAGACATGCCTAATACTTAATTAGATGTTTTTTTTTATAGAACAGGGGGCAAACGGGCAGGAGGCTCATCTGATGCCGCCACCCATGGACACTCAATGCTAGAGGGCTCGCGAGTACGTTGCCGGCCTTTTAAGAATTGGTATGTTCTTTTCTTGAAGTACCCTAAGTCGAATTGGTTCGGAAATACTTCAGTGGACTGCTGGTTCCACATAGTGGTGGTGCGCGACAAAAACAGCCTTAAAAAACGCTCAGTTGTGGAAGGACGGACGTTAACACGGGTGGAATTTTGTATTCTGCCTCGTCGTCCGATGGTGAAACTCAGCAGGTATTGGACCGAACAACTCTGAACACTCTCCAAGGTAAATGCGGTAGAAAATGAAGAGTGACCCCACATCTCTACGCAACGCCAATTTATGTTACGTTGATAAGTAAAGTGTTAAGTAAAACTATCCGAACTTTTGTACAATTAATAATTTCCTTTATTTCTTTAATACTAAAACGGTAGTTCAATGTCACATAAGTGTTTTCTTCATCCGGTTTACGATGGAAAATCCGACACAATCTGATCTTTATAGTTAGAAGCCCCGATCGGCTTATATCGACATTTTTATGACCTCGATGCGATTAATTACTTCACATAAAACATTGTCTAACTCAAATCCATGATATGACCCCATATCATGAAATACAGCCTTCGCTGGGCCCATAGCTTTTTATTTTCGACTATAAAAACATCACTTTATTTTGTTATTTTTTATTATGAGGAAATTTATAAAAAATCAAATGGAAATAAATGTTAACGATTTAAAATGATTGCAGTCGCAATAATTATAATAACAACTCTTTGAATAAACAGAAAATTTAATCAAATAAATTACGAATCGAATTATGTTAATTTACTGATAGGGAAAGCGTTAAATTAACTTTCATTTACAATAGTTAATAGCTGTATCAATTAAATCGCTTTTATCATTTCGTTTTCACTATAACCTAAATTGGGGCGCAGGCATACTGATATAGGTCTATGCCAATAACATTTTCGGATTACGATAGGTCTTTGAACGATCGACCTTTGAGTTAAACCACTTGATCTGGTCTTATCCACTAGAGGTGAAAAACAACAAACAACTTTAATTAAAATTGTGCTCCGACTGGGAATCCAAATAGACTATGTATTTTATAAAAATATTTTCAATTAATTATTACTAACACGACTAAATTGTGACTAAGGGGCCGTTCAACGTTTCTTTGATTTTCTGATTTGGTGATTACGTCAACAGTATTTATTTACTTTTTTACAAATTTTACCATAGACACATGTCAATGCTTGAATTGCTTACTTTTGCTGACAGGGGGGGATAAATTGCAGAAAATCTGATTACGTAATACTTGAACAATGACACGTTTATATAAAGGTTAAATGTATTAAAATAGCTCCTTGCACGTGTTTACTGCAACCGACCCTAGGTAGGGAGTGCTCCCTCGACCTAAATGCACTAACATGCAACACTGATTAACACCTATTACACTTATAATAAAATTTAATGTTAAATTAATGAATTAATTTGTATAATGGAAAGCCACGAGAATGCAAAACGAAAAACATCATGGCAGGTACAGGTAACCAAACACAATCAAATGAAACTTTCGTCTTTGTTAATAAAACTTTGCCTTTCATTTTTTCTTAATATTAATTACTTAAGATGTCATATGTAACATGGTGTAATGGTTGCAGCTCCTTACAAACATTGTGTAAAACAAAAAAATTGGCGATTAAAAAGAGTCGCGGAGAATTTATTGCCAGTTCTTTTCGTCCGTTCTACGCCCTTGATTTGAGAACTGGCAGTAAATGTAAAATTAGAAGCATTTAGAATTTAATATGCATTTCTTTAATGACGTTCATAAGTGTACATTGTGTTACCTAAATGAATAAATGATTTTGAATATCACTAAACTAACCTAAATTAAAGACTTTCGTCTTTCTCAGTCTACCCCCAAGACTTCTTCTCTTCACTTCCTTCAAGAAAAGAGCGTACCAATTCTTAAAAGGCCGGCAACACACTCGCGAGCCCTCTGGCATTGAAAGTGTCCATGGGCGGCGGTATCACTTAACATCAGGTGAGCCTCTTGCCTGTTTGCCCCCTATTCTATAAAAAAAAATAACCAATATAACCTTTTAATGTCTTAACATGTGAGTATGTAATGAAGGATTTCGTTTAAAAAAAACGTGATTATAATTTAAATTACGATTAACTTACTTTTCCTCTTGAGTTTCAACAAGTGGTCTCGGAGCTGGTGTGGCCAAATCTGGCATCTCAACAGCCATAGTGTCCATCGCCATGGTTAACACTTTACACTAATTCACTAACAAATTCATTCAACACAGTTTAGTCTTTAAAATCTTTGGTAATGGTTTGAAACTCGTCACTTTAAAATAAAAATATTTGAATTTAACATCGCATTTTAGAAGACACAAAAACCCATTTCTTTTCTCTAATTAAGTAAGTAGTACTTAAATGAAAGCTAATTGCGCCTTTGTTTGACAAATTTCTAAAATTTGTACGAAAATTGGATAGTAAAATCTGTATTGTATTGTCTATATGTATTTCAACTTATATCGTTAAGTTTTTCTATTAAATAATATTTCTATTAAGTTTCTTATTATAAAAGAAAATAACTTCACTTTCATTATTCATCGTGTTAGTCACTTACTAGTCAGTCACCACAATATCGCATTGTCTAATGCATTTTTAAATTATCTATTATCTACATGAAATTACCCTTTGTCAAAGCAAATATCATATTATGAAAATTGAATATAATATTATCTGAACTATTGTAATTATTTCTGAAAATGATTTAAGCACGAAAGAAAGTTATGTATATATATCAAGACAAAGTAAAACTATTAAAAAACAATTAAAAAATGTTATATGTACTAATAATTGAACGCAAAGTCAGCATTTAAATGCTGCGTTAATGCTAGGCAATTTTAGTGAGATCTGATGTATAACAAAGTAAACAATAGCATAATATGTAATTACAAACGTTGAATAATGCAAGTGGAAGACGATGAGAAATTGTATTATGTCATCCTGTTTACGCCGGAATAAAATACGCTATAAAAAATTTAATATGAATCTGCTATCTAGATTTCACTAGACGCAACTTCTATATTATTCAAATTCTATGTTTTTATAAGTTTATATAATACTGAATATTATTGGATAAGGAGCAGTGTTGGCCTAGTGGTTTCAGCGTGCGACTCTCATACCTGAGATCGTAGGTTCGATCCCCAGCTTGGCAGCAATGGACTTTCTTTCTATGTGCGCATTTAACATTTGCTCGAACGGTGAAGGAAAACATCGTGAGGAAACCGACATGTCATAGACCCAAAAAGTCGACGGCATGTGTTATTTCTTCTAATAGGTAGGATCAGCCGTCTGTCCTGACACACGCCGACAACATTTTTTTTCTAACTCTAAGGCATGCAGGTTTTCTCACAATATTTTCCTTCACAAAGTGAATGTTAAATGCAAGTCCATTGATGCACAACCGGAGATCAAAGTTACGACCTCAGAAATCAGAGTCGAACAATAAAGCCATTAGGCCAACACTGCTCTGTTGTAATAGACTGTAGCAATTATATATCATATAAAATGGAATATGAGTGTACGGAAAATATGACTACCTAATGTTTTGATTCTCTTCACGGCTCGTTGTGTACATAATGTATAATGCTCTAATTATAGCGTTGTTAACTAGTCCATATTATATAAGCCAGTGGTACTTCCGGACGCATTCAATGTATATAGTGTTATTAAAACAACACCTGGCTGAATGTTACGCTATGACCATGACTTAACTCATTTTTATGAATTTTATTTTATATGCTCGGAAAACTTATGAGGTTGTACATTTATTAACGAATTTCTTAGTTTCATAAGCACCTTTATAGTTAGAGATACAAAAAACGAAGCAAAACAAAAACTTGATCATAAAAATTAGTAGCAGAGATTTTATTATTATATATATTCACTCGTTTTGCAAACTGGCTATAAATGTAAATTAAGAATTATATATTTTCTTGACTCTGTACATTATGTACGAATAATTTAAATTTTATTTATTACCAGAAAATAAGTCTCCTTTTTCAACATTTATAAAAATTTTATAGCATTTAATTGTTTGTTGTACATTTTGGTCCTTCGAGCCGTACATTACTTCTTAAAATATTACTACCTGATGTGTTAGTTTGTTCATGAATTCACAATTGCATTTTCTGTTTAATAAAACTGCCTTAGTCTTTAGAATTGAGACTATTCAAAACGACTGGGTCCTGATATAAGAATCGCCAGGTTGTAATTTTTAAAGTGTCTATATAATTAAAACTAAAATGCTGACGAGGTCATCGTCATTGCTACACATGACCATAAAGCATTACATACTTTTGCGCTATATATAGAGATCCGGCGATAACTACTTATATACTATTCTATACATCCATTTATAAAAACATATTGTATTTCGACAAGTCAAGTAAACATTTTTATCAATAGTGTTTCAATGTTATCACATATTTCAGTTTCTGGTTTATATTTGAATTAATTCCCGATTTAGATAGTAATTTAAATTTTTTGGGTGTTACGATACATACAAAGACAAATAACAAAAAAGTCTATACAATGCGTTTTGTGTACAACAGCTCGCTTTTAACTGGTTACAACGGTTTTTATCACTAAAATAAGTCGAAATAGTATAAATATGTTTAGGGTACAATTGAGAGTCGAGACTTGGCTAAATATGGCAACATCAAACACTTGGATTTGACATATGGAACTAGTCACACTCACATCCTTAGATCTTTTAGAGACACTTTATGAAGTTATACAATAAATAGCCAGTAAAAACCTCAACCCTATAGAAAATAAATAAAGAATATTAAAAACATAAAACACCAAGAAACGAAGTAAACGGACGATTTATTTTATTCAGCATAATTGAATTTCTGAAGGAACATCCTCACGGGATAAGGCGTTTCTTTAGAATATTAAGACAGCGTTTAGAGTACAAAGGTTTTACTGTATGTAAATATAGTAAAAACTTTGTCTACTGAGTAATAAGTGTAGTTTAATCATCACAAATAACCCTTGCCTTCTTCATAGGCAGTCTGTGCCTGTGCCTGACACGCGCTCTCGAATTTTGAGTATTAATATCGGTTTCGTCACGATGTAATCCTCTACCGAACGTGCTGGTTATGTGCATTGTGCATATAATAAATATTGGCGACCTTAGGATTAAGGCGCCGGAGGCAATAAGGGCAACACTGCTTTGATATTAAAAAGGTATAATATTTTATGAACAAAATGATCTGAATCTGAATGATAAGGTCAAGACTGGAGACTCACATTCAATAATATTCTACCAGAATAAAATGAATGAATATGACTACATACATTTTTACGTGATTACATTTAAATAATGTAAAAATACATCGACAACTGTAATTTCAACTCGCAGTTATAATTTATTCTATAAAAATAAAATAAATAAATCAGTGGCGCTACTACCTTTTTAGTTCTGGGTCTCAGACTTGGCGATTAAAAAGAGTGGAGGAGAGTTTATTGCCAGTTGTTCTCCTCCGTTCTATGCCCTTGATTTGAGAACTGGCAGTAAATGTAAAATTAGAAGCATTTAATGTATATTTCTTATTTGACGTTCATAAGTGAACATTGTGTTACCTACATGAATAAATGATTTTTGACTTTGACTTTCAGATGTCCGTATCTGTTTCATTATCGTTTGGCAATCTAATAGGCAAGCCTATCAGCCTCCTGTGCCTGACACACGCCGTCGACTTTTTGGATCTAAGGCAAGCCGGTTTCCTCACGATGTTTTCCTTCACCGTTCGAGCGAATGTTAAATGCGCACATGGAAGAAAGTCCATTGGTGCACAGTCGGGGATCGAATGACCTCAGGAGAGTCGCTGAAACCACTAGGCCAACACTGTCCTCATCCAATAGTGCTTTGCGAAAAGTACATTTTAATTAACTTTTCTTTGATACTATTGTTTCTTACTATGGTTGTAAATTTTTACTTGATATCGAAAAGGCCAGCCCTTGTGCTAATCTTTTCAGTATTATTTAATTTTTTTAAGTGTTTATGTAACATACAAGACAATACATAAACAATAGTTAATCTTATGTTATCTTTATACAACTATTAAAAATCTAAGAAATAAAGTACTGGAAGCAAATTATTTTATAAATGAAATAAAAGTGTCGATGCACCTTATGTATTATTCATACTATTTGTCTGACAGTACCTTCACATTTCCAATGAATTTATCAAATGAGAACTACACATTCATAGGTTTACGACCTGAAAGCCTAACAAAGAAACCGTCTCGTCTAAAGTCATATCAGATTTCTGTTGTGCTAATGTTTCAGGGCTAGTGAATACAATGAAATAACAAAACCCGATACTGATGTAATAAAAAATATATAGTGCAACAGGCGGCTTTTATGCTAAGCAATCCCCTTCAGGCTCACCTGATGTTAAGTGACCGCCGCCCATGGACACTCTCAATGTTCAGAGGGCGCGCGAGTGCTTTGCCGGCCTTTTAACAATTACTACGCTCTTTTCTTGAAGGACCCTAAGTCGAATTGGTTCAGAAATACTTCAGATGGCAGCTGGTTCCACATAGTTGTTGTGCGCCGCAATAAATGCCTTAAAAAACCGCTCAGTTGTGGAACGACGTGGTGATACGGGTTTACCAGGCTTTAACCGCGGAACTGATACCAACGTAAGTTTTTCTGATCTTCCTCTAACAGTCTTCTCGTTTACGTTACTTTACATTGAAATTTCCGAAGTCATCAAAATCTTAAGCATTGACTTGACCATTTTTGACATATAATGTCTGGAAAATGTACCCGGCATGCGTATTAGTGTACTCAACTACTACGTTTAGTATAATATGTTTAACAGTCACTATTAAAAAAAAAACAAATATAAAAACTAGCCTATAATATAATTAAATTTATAAAAGACCCGGGTTTAATAACATTCGTATTTTTGTACAAATTCAAGCGCTAGCCATCTTTCAACACCCCTAAATTCCATTTTCCTCATAAATAACAAATGAAATCAGAAATTTAACGCGCTGATTTCAAAACATTACCAATTTCACGTGTACTTACGAAATCGAATAAAAAATTGTTTACACAATTCACAACACCAGAGGGAATTTCACGATTTGTATTTACGTGCTCACTCAACAACCGTCGGATTCAGACTGAATGCGCAGTGGGATGCGCAAAGCGATTGACGATTTGACGCGTA